TCCCCCAGAGACAAGGGGACAGAGCAACCTTCCAACTCCCACGAAGCAAGAGGGAACTCCAGGATCACATCCATCGGACCATGAAGCCCCCGCGGTGTTTCCCATGGCCCTTAGTCTTATTAACACGCTAAGGGAAGCCCAGGCAGGGTACTGCAAACCGGCGCCCAAGACTACCAAACAATCTGCTAATAGCTGAACTCTGGGATGTGTCCACTCACAGGGGCCTAGCAAGAGGGTACCACCAACCACACAAAAACAGAGATGTAATGAGAGATATGTAATGTAATGAGATGTAATGATATAATGAGAGATATATACACCCCAACACAGAAGGGGCAACCACCAAGGCAAACCCCCCTCACCAAGCAGAAACACTAAAACAAAAGCAAAACCTCGCAAGAGGACAGCGTTCCCAGGTGGTACAGAGCCGGCCACTGTAAGAGGTGATAACTAGCTGTGCAGTACCTCGCACCCCCTACCAGTGATGAAAACTACCCCACTACCCAGAGGAAAACACAAGCAACAAAGATCCAAGTTGACTCCAAGGGCAGCCAAGTACGAGCTGTAAAAGACACAGCGGGGGTAGATCCCGAGGTGACTTGTGGAAGGTGGCCCCAAGGGTAGTACTTACAGGGCACCTGGGGAAGATGGCCCTAGGCACAAGCAGTCTGAGTACTGAAGAATATTACTCCTGGCTCGCACACCACCAGTAGAGACAGTCCACGCCCAAGGCACAGAAACTGAGACAAACCTCCCCGGTGGTCAGGCGGGGAAGCAACCCGCAGAAAGAAAATGGCCACCAGAACAAAGGAGCCGTGACCGACGCAAGAGATCCGAAAACACACCAGCAAATTTGGGAAGTAAGCAGACGAGAGGGCGAAAAAACCCCGCCCAGAAGCAGAAAACCCAGCAGGGGCAAACAACCCCAGAACTGCTAGCGGGCATCCCCCACAGCCCAGGGAACCTGCAACAGAGGCCCCGGGGCAGAGCTGTCCTCCACACCCTCTGCTCTTAAAGAAAAGGAAGAGTCCAGGGGAAAGGCAGCAAAGAAAGAGCTGCCAGTAAGACCCAGAAGCCTTGGTAGCAGGAACAGGCTCGAAAACATGCGTCCCCAACCCGAATGGGGCAGCCCCCAAAGCCGCCCGAGTCTTGGCAGCAACTAAACCCCGCCCCAACCCCGAAACCCACAGGGTTTCCACAGGGCCAGGAGCCGGGAACAGGAAGGGGAAAGGGGCGAACAACACCTAACAAAAACGGGGCAACCTCGGGGCATCCAGGTGGGAAACCAACCTAGCACGTTGCAGCAACCTAAACCAAGCTTGCAACGCGGATGCTGCCGGTACTCTTAACAGTAAGTACAACAGAAGAGTACTGGAAAACAAGCAGAGAACACATCTTGCAATACTCCAGGGTCAAGGTGTCAGTGACCCAACAGGCAGCATGATGGAGGTAAAAGAGGCGACTGTAACCCTGAGACAAGGGCACAGCAACCAATGAACCCGCACAAGATAAGTTGGAACCCGGAAGACATATCCACTGGTCCACCGAGCCCCGACAGGGTTTTCCAGGGCCCATAGGGTGATGACTACGGGAAGTCTGGGCAAGGTGTCGCTAACCGGTTAACACCCAAATCTAACAAGGGGGGTAAATGCTAACACTAAAAACCCCTGCAATGTGTATAATCATGGGGGGCCTAGCAGAGGGCCACCAATCAATGAAAATAAAAAAAAAAGAAAACCCCACAAACGTACACCATCCCCAGAGGCAACAGGAAACGGTCGCCGCGAAGGTAACACGTCGCGCAACACCTATATGCCCCAACCAGCATGATTCCAGTCCCTACCAAAGGTCAAACAAGGGCCCGAAGCCCCTGCTAGCCCCAAGGGCGAGGCAAATGCCAAGTACCAAGAACCCCTACAGGAATGGGGTCCCGAATGCCCCAGGGAAAAAAAACCCTGACACGCAGGGGCAGTACTCACTGGCCGCTTAGGGAAGGAAACCCCTAAGCGCATGCAGCCCCGGTACTGATGAGGAACACATGGCCACTACACAACACAAAAACACAGCAGTGAGCGCCAGGGAGGCAAACACCGCCTAGGAAACTGAGGCCAGAGAAGCGTCTGTTCCTGTTGACATTAGCTTACGAACTGGAGTGCTATGCAGCTGGGGCGGTGAGGTCTGGGGCCCCCCTCCCCCTCTCGGGGAGGGAAGGGCTACGCAGATGAGCGGCGCAGCAGTAGTGTGTTACGTTTGCTTGTTTACTTGTTTCCATGGGATTGAAGCTCTACCTCTCTGTTCGGTTTTTGTTGTTAGTTTCTTACCATGTGGGGTTTGTTTTGTTATGTCTACCTTTCTGGGTACCTAACCTCCCCAACCAGAGGGGGGGATTTTCCAGGGCCATTGCTCCCTGAAACCTCTCTGAAGGGGCCAGGTTCTGGCTTATGGTCTCTGGTAGGTCTAAACACCATAACTAATGTCCCTGTTAAATATAAATTATATTAGCCCGATAAGCTCCAGGGAGCCGTAAGGGCTCCATTCAGAAACTACCACTTACCCCAAGGTAAACAAGAGCGGAAACCCCCCAAAACACTCGAGGCGGTCAATTGCCAAGCAGCAAATGACCAACAGAGGTAGATCCAAGGTGACTTGTGGAAGAGAACCCCAAGCCCCAAGGCGGTACTTACAGGGCTCTTAGGGAAGGGAACCCTAAGCGCATGCAACCCGAGTACCTAAGAATATTACTTCCAGCTCACACGCCACCGTAAGAGCAGTACTGAGCTAAAGCACAGAACAACACAAGAGTCTGGAGCTGGAGCCACTCAACCATTGTGCTTCACACCAGCCGAAGAACTGGAGTGTGGATCGCCAGCGAGGGGGGTCTGGTGCTTCACCTTCCCCCACAGCATTTCTTTCATCTTACTAAAACTGTAAGGCAGTGTACCCTGCCTTACCACTTGCCAGTGTACACTACCTTACCACTTACCAGTGTACACTGCCTTACCACTTGCCAGTGTACCCTACCTTACCACTTGCCAGTGTACCCTGCCTTACCACTTACCAGTGTACCCTGCCTTACCACTTGCCAGTGTACACTACCTTACCACTTACCAGTGTACCCTACCTTACCACTTGCCAGTGTACCCTGCCTTACCACTTGCCAGTGTACACTACCTTACCACTTGCCAGTGTACCCTACCTTACCACTTACCAGTGTACCCTGCCTTACCACTTGCCAGTGTACACTACCTTACCACTTACCAGTGTACACTGCCTTACCACTTGCCAGTGTACACTGCCTTACCACTTGCCAGTGTACACTACCTTACCACTTGCCAGTGTACACTGCCTTACCACTTACCAGTGTACCCTACCTTACCACTTGCCAGTGTACACTACCTTACCACTTACCAGTGTACCCTACCTTACCACTTACCAGTGTACCCTGCCTTACCACTTGCCAGTGTACCCTGCCTTACCACTTGCCAGTGTACCCTGCCTTACCACTTGCCAGTGTACCCTACCTTACCACTTGCCAGTGTACACTGCCTTACCACTTGCCAGTGTACACTGCCTTACCACTTGCCAGTGTACACTGCCTTACCACTTACCAGTGTACCCTACCTTACCACTTGCCAGTGTACACTACCTTACCACTTGCCAGTGTACACTGCCTTACCACTTGCCAGTGTACACTGCCTTACCACTTGCCAGTGTACACTGCCTTACCACTTGCCAGTGTACACCTTACCACTTACCAGTGTACCCTACCTTACCACTTGCCAGTGTACACTACCTTACCACTTGCCAGTGTACCCTACCTTACCACTTGCCAGTGTACACTACCTTACCACTTGCCAGTGTACCCTGCCTTACCACTTACCAGTGTACACTACCTTACCACTTACCAGTGTACCCTACCTTACCACTTGCCAGTGTACACTACCTTACCACTTACCAGTGTACACTGCCTTACCACTTGCCAGTGCCTTACCACTTGCCAGTGTACACTACCTTACCACTTGCCAGTGTACACTACCTTACCACTTGCCAGTGTACACTACCTTACCACTTACCAGTGCCTTACCACTTGCCAGTGTACACTACCTTACCACTTGCCAGTGTACACTGCCTTACCACTTGCCAGTGTACACTACCTTACCACTTGCCAGTGTACACTACCTTACCACTTACCAGTGTACCCTGCCTTACCACTTGCCAGTGTACCCTACCTTACCACTTACCAGTGTACACTACCTTACCACTTGCCAGTGTACCCTGCCTTACCACTTACCAGTGTACCCTGCCTTACCACTTGCCAGTGTACCCTACCTTACCACTTGCCAGTGTACCCTACCTTACCACTTGCCAGTGTACACTGCCTTACCACTTACCAGTGTACCCTGCCTTACCACTTGCCAGTGTACCCTGCCTTACCACTTGCCAGTGTACCCTACCTTACCACTTGCCAGTGTACACTACCTTACCACTTGCCAGTGTACCCTACCTTACCACTTACCAGTGTACCCTGCCTTACCACTTGCCAGTGTACCCTACCTTACCACTTGCCAGTATACACTACCTTACCACTTGCTAGTGTACACTACCTTACCACTTGAAGCGTACTCTCTAAGAGCAATAAATACTAGAACTGTAAGCACTGTGGTCATAGTGATAAGTTCTCTAGAGATTATAATATACTTTACTCCACATTTTTAATTATACAGTTTTTCTATTCTAACTTCAAGTGTTTTCTTTCATTTTAGTTAGGAAAATGCCATCAAAGCTGGTAAAACACAGCAGAAAATAATTAAGCACTAAGCTAATAAGGATATATACAGCAAACTGGGAAAAATTATTATGAATTAAAATCCACATTTGGTTTTTAAATTGAGAACATTTTACATTCCACTGCAATAGCATTCAAATTAATGCAAGTACACACAGCCAGGCAAAGGTGCAGTATAATATTGTCTGGCAAAAACAATTAAAATTATACTTACTTCACCAATTGTTCCCATAATGTATCAAGCTGTTGGTCTAAGAGTCCAGAATCAATTTGCTGAATTTCTTGCCTCAGCTGGTTGTATGTTGCACGCTCTTCTGCCTCTAATACACGCAGTTCTTCAATACGTTCTAAAAACCAAGATCACATCAGATAGATATATTATTGCTATTAAAAAACCCAGCGTTGAATGTAATGAAATGCCATTTGCTGGGTGATACCCGGAGACTCCCTGTAGCTTACTAGGCTGATATGCTAATGTCAGACTTTGGCCTCAGTCAAGTGTATGGAGTTCTGTGAGCCTACCAGGGACTACGAGCCAGAACCTGGCCCCCTCGGAGAGGCATGGGAAGCAATGGCCTATAGAAACCCCCATGTGGTTAAAAGCATTCTATGTCTGCCATTGACCGGGTCAGGCACCCACAAAGGTAAGCTTCCCAAAACAAACCCCTATTCTGGTGAAAATATTGCTACCAAAAGCCAAACAACTGGATAGAACTTCCTTAAAAGAAACGAGCAAACGTTTCCGGGTGGAAGTTGTCACAGACCCAACAGGCAACATGATGGAGGCAAAAACTGTGAGGGTCACCCTGAATCAAGGGGACCGAGCAACCCTCGAACTCGCACGAAGCGAGGGGGGGACTCCAGGAACACATCCATCGGACCCACGCGTCCCCTAGGGGATTCCCAGGGTCCTGAGTGATTAATGGAAACTCACGCCTAGGTGATCCCAGGCAGGGTACTACTAACTGGCACCCAAAACTACCAAACAACTGTCTAAAGCTGAACCCCAGGGACATATACACTCACGGGGACGTAACAGGGTCACCACCATTAGAGAACCGTGCACAGGTCAGGCACAAAAAAGGGGGAAGCAAGGCAGACCCCCTACAAGGCAAAAAACAAAAAGAAAAACAAAACCCCGCAAGAGGACAACGTACCCCAAGGAACAGAGCTGGTCGCTGTAAGTGGTGAAAACAAGCTGCGCAGCACCCTGTGCCCCACCAGTGCAAGCTGTCTCTTATCCTAAGGTAAACCAGGAAGACAAAACCCCTAAGCATCCAAAGGGCAGCCAAAAACCGAGCAGTAATAAGGCCTAGCAGAGGCAGACCCCATGGAACTTGTGGAGGTAGCCCCAAGCTCTAAGGGCAATATTTACAGGGCACCTAAGGACGATAATCCTAGGCGCATGCAGCCCGAGTACTGTAGAATAACTCCCGGCTCTTACACCCCTGGAAGACAGCCACCACACTCAAAGCACAGTGCTGGAAACGCTGGAGCCAAGCACACGATCTCCGCCTCTAGCAACAGCATGAGAACTGAAGGGTGGATAGCCGGTGCGAGGGGTCTGGGGCTCCCCCTTCCCCCTCCCGGGTAAGGGGGGGGGAAGGGGGGAGCGGAGACAGCGGAGTGGTGACATGTGACGTCATGCTCGTTTGCTCGTTTCTTTTAGGGAAGTTCTATCCACTTGTTCGGCTTTTGGTAGCAATATTTTCACCAGAATAAGGGTTTGTTTTGGGATGCTTATCTTTGTGAGTGCCTGACCCTGTCGATGGCAGACATAGAATGCTTCCAACTACACAGGGGTTTCTAGAGGCCATTGCTTCCCATGCATCTTTGGGGGGCCAGGTTCTGGTTCGTAGTCCTCGGTAGACCCACAGAACTCCATACACATGACTGATGCCAAAGTCTGACATTAGTATATCAGCCTAGTAAGCTCCGAGGAGCCGAAGGGGCTCCCCCAGAAAAGCACTGAATGTAATGAAACTCCATTTTCTGGGCAAGCCCTGGAGGCTTTCTGAGGCTATCCGAACTAATATCTGCTATATTAGTTTTGGGCACAGGAGTTCTTATGCCTACCGGGAACCACGAGCCAGAACCTTGCCCCCCCCCCCTTCCTCAGAGGGGTGCAGGGAGCAATGGCCTATGAACACTTTACATTTAAAGTACTGTATGTCATAATGCCATCGACCGGGGAAGGATCCAGAAAAGTAGGCAAATCAAAATATACCACAATCTGGTGAAAATTGTGACCTGTGCCTGAAAAGAGCAAAAGAGGTCAAAGAAAACAAACAAGCAACACTTCATCCAACTAGCACTCCCGCTCGTTAATGCTATGCCCCCCCCCTATCTCCGAAGGGGGATGAAGGGGAGTTGCCTCAGGTGAGCAGGCAGTTCATCACCTCAATTTGTAGAATGATGACAACCGCTAACCAGACGGAGGGAGGGAGGGTGTCAGGGAGCCTCCGGGACTCGCCCAGAAAATGGCATTTCATTAAATAAACACTGATTTTCTGTGGTGAGCCCCGTTGGCTACCTGAAGTAACTACCCATAGATAAGTAAAAAACCAGCGTTGAATGTAATGAAACGCCATTTTCTGGGTGAGCCCCAGAGGCTCCCTGGAGCTTATCGGGCTAATGTATGTTATGTTAGACTGGGACATTAGCTAAGGAGTTCAGACCTACCAGGGACCAGCGCCAGAACCTGGCCCCTTCAGAGAGGTTTCAGGGAGCAATGGCCCTGGAAAACCCCCTTGTGGTTGGGGTTTTCCTTATCTGCCATCGACCGGGGTTAGGCACCCAGAAAGGTAGGCGTAACAAAACAAACCCCACATGGTAAGAAACTACAACAAAAACCGAACAGAGAGGTAGAAAACTCCCTACAATCCCAAGGAAACTAGCAAACAAGCAAACATCACACTTTACTGCCGCGCCGATCGTCCGCGCAGCCCTCCCCACCCCGGGAGGGGGAGGGGGGAGCCCCGGACCTACCGCGCCGGCTGCCAAGCTCCAGTTCGGAAGCTAAGCTTCAACCAACGCGAAAAAACCGCCGACCGGTGGGAGGGAGGGTTTCCAGGGAGCCTCCGGGGCTCACCCAGAAAATGGCGTTTCATTACATTCAACGCTGGTTTTCTGTGGGGAGCCCCTACGGCTCCCTGGAGCTTCATACCCAAAGAGAAGGAAAAGAAAGGGCTAACCCGGGAGGCGGCCGCCACAAACTCTGCAACGCAAAGCCAAGACAACCGGTCGCAAACCTGCGACCCAAGGCAACAAGAACGCCCAAGAACAGACGCACATATGGATGGGCGGCCAAAAACCTGTGCGACCCACAAATCCCTGCGCCCGAAATGAGCCCGAGACGTCACCAACACAGCAGCAAAAGCTGCAAACGTCTGAACAGCACGGGCGCAAAGACAGACCGCAGGCTGGAAGAAGGAAAACACTGCGGACGACCTGGGAGACCCGAGCCCTGAAAACAGGGAACGAAGGAACCGGATCAACCACAGCGCATCCCCAGACACGGTACGCCGGCAACAGCAAAAAGCACAACCCGACAACACAGGACGCACCCCCCGGCCAAACCAATCAAGTACCAATACCCCAAGAACCCCTCCGGAAAGCAGCCGTCACGACCGGCGCCAGGACAGAGAAAGGCTGCACACCTATAAAGCTACCACCAGTACCAAAGAGGAGGAAACTGAACCGAAGGGGCTACCACAAACTGAGGGGAAGATAAGAAGGCACCCTGAACAAGGACCAGTATAGCTCAGGCGACGCATGAGCAGGCCGGAGGGGAAACAAAACACAAGAAAACGTAAGAAACGTCATACTGTCTCCAAGACGAAGCTCGCAGGCGGGACACCGTCAACAAAGCCACCTGAACACCATAGAGATGGTGATACCCGCATCAAAATACCAGACGCGAAGAGCCAAAGAGAAGGCCGAACCAGTCACGGACAGGACCGATTCGGCCTGCTGAAAGAGGCGAAGCCTCAGGAAAAACGCCCCGGGTACGGACACCTATCAAGCAGCGTCTGAAAAGAAGGACGGGCCGGCCACCAAGGAACCATAAGGACTGTTCTCGTGGGATGGACTGCAACCGAGCCAGAACCCGAAGCAACAGCTGGACCGGGAGAAGAGGAACAGGTACCCCCCACCTCGACCAGTCCTGCCGAAAGCCTCCACCGTGAAGTCCTCGCAGGTGGGAAGGGTGCCACAAAATGGGCGACGCCTAGACCACGCTGACCCGAAGACGTCCATGGCCAGGAGTCCATATGCCCGAAAGAGCCAACAAAACAAATCGGCGACGACTGGCCAACCCACGAAAAGGAATGAACCGAGACAGCTGTCCGCCAGGACGCAGGACACACCCCGGACACGAACCACACGGTTAGCCAAACCCCTGTGGTTCCGGCAAGAACCACCAGAGAACAGTCCAAACAGAGCTGAATGGTTGAGTACCTAGTGACCCAAACCCTCCGAAGCGCAAACCAGACAGCCATGAACACCCGAACCGGGCTGTGAGCCCGACGGACAGACAGACTCCATCAACCTCGGCCGACCTGGTGAGCACTGGTCACAAAGCCCCAGCCGAGAGACGACCCGTCCGTGAACACATCGAGCGAAGGCTCGGGGAGGTGCCAAGGCACGGAACCCCGAAAACCCCAAAGAGGAAGCTGGTGACGCAGCACCAACACAAGATCCCCGGAGGAACCCAAGGAATGCAAGAGGCGGAAGGGGAGTCTCCGCAGGAACCAACCGACGCCGTAGCCAAACCCGACTCCGCGGGCAGACAAGCACGCCGAAGTGCAGACTCCCGCACAACCGCCCAAGCAGCCGCTGAGCAACCCGGGACCCCCTCCTGAACAGCCAAAGGCGGGACCACAGCCGCAGTAACACTTCTGGAGGGAAGACAATGAGGGGCCCAAGAGCCTTAAACAAGGCCCAGGTCCGAACCCGGGACGGAAACAGATGGAAAAACCTCCAGATCACCAGGAAACCAAACCCGGCGATCTGGAAAGAACCATCCCCCTGGCGAGCAGACAAGCGGACTGACTGGGAGCCCACACCAGCCAGTCGTCGAGGTAGGCCAGACACCGAATCTCAGACTCAGACAGGGCACTAAGATCCGGTAAAGATGCAAAGAGTATACGAAGTGCCCATTACAAAATAGGGAAGGCAAGAAAAACAGCAAACCTGAAGCCCCACCACCAACTGTGCTAGCCCCAGAAAAACTGGAGAGGAACGTGCCAAGAAGTGACCTGGAGGTCCAGGGCCACCATCCATGCACCCGGCCTTAACAGAATCCGAACAGGAGACAACAGTCCTCCGAGGAGGGCAGAGGATCCAG